GTACAAATCAGTAACCCAATTAATGAGGGGTTTAGCATATTGATTTGCATCAGATTACACAAATTAATGACACACATGGGGGGGTACAATGCAGCAGGACATGCTGGGAAGACGAACAGCTATGCAGGGGGAGTGTATTGCCACTGTACATGAAAGCGGGGCATGTGCACCCCAGATCTCATATGGGGATGAAGCTGCTCCCACTTAGCTTCTACGTGGCCATTGGGGACACAGAGACATTACCTGGCTGTTGAAATGGCTAACAATCTAAGGCAGGTTTGCTTTTTAAAATGAGAACTCCTGCTTTAATGGTTACAGCAAGGTCCGGCTGGGAGTTAAACAGACGTGGCTTCCAAGTGAGACCACCAAGGGCCATGGGGGGGACACAATCCTGCTCTGCTCCTGCTGGGACACGGGGCACACACAAGAGAATCCACCACAAAGAGCAAAGATTTGGGAAAAAGCAGCCAGGGCAGTAAGGAAACATGGGGCAAAGTCATTGGGAGAGGGCTGGAAGGAGCCCAAAAGGGCAAAGGCCAACAAAGCAGGGCAGGTTCAGGGAGGAAAAACAGCTCCACCAGCACCCAGCCTACAGCACACAGATAGTAAACAGAGGGAGGCAACACAACATTAGGACATGCCATAAGCACCCTCCAAAACCTGCCAGGTTTAGTAAAAGGCTATTCCCCACGGCCACCTGCCCCTTCTGCACCTGGCAGTGTCCCCAGCTCTCACCAGGCTGCCTAGCCCAAGGGACCACTGGGAAGGATGGTATTCCCTTCCAGAGGAGAGGGACAAAAGAGACAGGCCATGGCCAGGATGGCTTTCCCTCCTCCCAGGGCGGGCAGCCCCTCCTTGCTCCAGTAGTTACAAAAGGGCTCTCAATCCGTGTAATCCATTACAAATAAATTTAAGCACACTTGACCCAAAATTACAGCAAGCCCATGCAGAGCTGCATCTTCCCGGGCAATTTACACTATTACAAACCCTCAAACAAACCACAGCAGAGGATTCAAAAACAACAGAAAGACAACAAAAAAGCAAACCAAACACAGAAAACATGCTTGACACAGCATTATCAAGAAATGAAAACCGTTACTGGGGTTGGTTCATATTCAGGTGGTCCTAAAAGTGCCCACTACAGCACAATCTCTAACCAATGCATGTCTTGCAGATACCTTAAACCATTAAATCACAGCCGCTTGAAAGATGCCATGAAGTGTAGCACTACATAACTCTTTGGGTGGGGACTGCAACCCCAAGCCCAGGGGGCACAGGCAGGAGGGACAGTGCTGACCTGGTGGCTGCTTACTCTCCCAGGGTGGCTTCCAGTTGCAAGTCCCCCCCCTATTAGCACCTCAAGTCAACACAGATCCCACCAGCAAAGAGAGCCATTGCAAAGTTCCTTCACCAATTTTCACCCCCTTCTATGCATTTTTTAAATTTAGTTCTAAATTACTATTAGCCCTTGATGACATCCCAAGGAAGAGAAGAAGCAGAGGACAGGCCACCTTCCCACCAGCTTTGCAGGTATCACAGTACTGACTTACGGACCACTGCAGGGAGGTGGCCACTGGCAATCACATCACACAGAGACTTGAGGCAGTGACACTCCGCAGTTATCCTAGATACTCAGCCTGCCTTACATGGGAAAATAAAAGCACAGCATTAAAAAAAAAAGTGGAAGTTATTTTCTTCCAACAGTCAGAGATGGATTTATCTGGGCTCACATTTCCTGCAGCAGCCATGCCCACCAGCTTCCACACACAATCCTTGGTCCTTGATGTCCCCAAGATGCTGCAAGACTGCCTGTGCCTGCAGGTCCTGGGTGTCTGCTGCTCCTGGCTGTGGAGAGGTGCCAGTGGTATGGGCTTTCCCACAGACAAGAAGAAACACTGCGGTTTTGTGCTGGCAAGCAAAGGGCACGAGCAGGGCAGCAGTCCCGGGCACTAGCCATCACTGATCTGGTTGCCATCATCACCATGTTGGGGACACTGCCACATTCACATGGGGGTGCTGCACGAAGGCAGGAGGGAAGTGGGTGGCTTTGGGGGCAGGGTGACAAACGGCCAGCAATTACTGTGGGACACACGATAATTAAAAGCATCCAAACAGACGAAAGGGATTTTTATATACCTTGCTCTGAAATGTCCAACACCAGATGCTATCATGAGAAAGAAGCCAGGACCACACCAGAGGTCTTGCCTGGTCCAGCAAGTCTTACATCCAGCCAAAGCAATTGGAGGATGGTGATGGAAACTTCAGTACCATCCAGTCTAAGAAATGATCAATGCACTGACAGTCTGCACCTTCCAGAATTAATACACCAACCTGACAATGGGGACAAAAGCCAGCTTGGCTCAGCTGGGGCAGGCAGGAGCAGGACCCTGTCCCGGGGGTGTGAGAGGACTCCTCTTGCTGCCCTGGTCATTTGTCCTGACTCAGGGCCACACCACCCACCACAGCATAAAATGAGAGACTCTTTCATTACAGGAGTCCCATTATGTGCTCTCCTCTTCCCCCTTCATTACACTGCTACCAGCAGTGTAAACATGGAGGCTGGTCCACTGGAGGAACCTCGAGCAGCCTGTACGTGCGTGTCGCCTGTGAGGCTGTCGCAGCACGGAGCTGTATGTGTTTCAGGATCAGCATAGAGCTGTTAAAGCAGGTCCTTTCGAGGGCTGTATTTTTTTATTCCAACTCTTTGGGAGACAGCATCTCACATGCTGTCAAGAACACCTTTCTGGTTCATTTTGCATTTGAAGCTCATCACCAATTCTGTTAATTATTAATTCTATGTATGGGAATTTTTCTTTAAAACATGGTCGTAATGGCAATGGTTATGTGACAAACAAGAAATACCTGAAGGAAGGGAGCACATGCCTTCCTTGAAGTCAGCAGCATGCCTTGTCCCTGCCCGTATGGTTTAGTTTACAAGCTCATGTCAGAGAGCCGATTTCACACACAAACACAAAATAAAAGCAGGAACACCACTTTTGATCACCCTGCATTGATGTTTACTCTTGTTTCCTGTAGCCCCAGGTGACAAATCTGTCCTTTATATAGCAGAGGACGGTTGTGTTATTAACAAAGTCAACTGGACACACTTACAACTCACGGCAGGTCTTTGCATTGGTGGCTTGTACCAAACTAAGGAATAATAATAATTAGAAAGCAATTAGTCATAAAATGATAAATATAAATTCAGAAATGTTTCTTCTAAGCATAAATGCTCAAAAGCAGGAGAATTTACAAGCAACTTTCTTACATATGAACACTTACGCCAGGAAGGGAGATGTTGGAGAAGTCAGGCCCTCTGAACACAAGGGCTTTTGTTCTACCATTCTCTGAGCTCTGAAGAAGTTTAATTTTTTTTTTTTCTTCATTTAACTTTGCCGGCCTGCCAGCTGGGTATAAGCCAGAAGGGTTATCCAGTCAGACCTTACTGTGATATATTTACAATGGTAGAGCATCTAAGGTTTGTTTATTTCGGGATTAAAATTCAAATGGCTAGAACCATTTAAATAATTAAAGGGCAATCAGAAAATGCCATGAAACCAAACAAATCAGGAAGAGTCATGGAAACCATCAGCAATATTTAATTCAGAAATTCTCTTTGTTAGGGAACTTAGCTGAAAGAAAACAGCTGGATGTAGTTCAACCCTCTAAATTAAAAACAATCTAACAAGGTCTATAGGGATAACTCTTTCAGCTACATATTGGAGACCAGATTCACTTCTACCAAGTAAATGTAATAACACTCAAAGCTAGAAAGGAAATTCCTCAGAACTGAGGTAGTTTCTAAGTATCAGCACATTTTCCAATTCCTCACAAGGCAACTTAGTTATTTACAATCCATTTTTTCCCACACATAAATTTATAACTTTTTCAATTTTATGGTTCCATGATTTATTTTCTAAAGAAAAATAATCTAGCCAGAATATTCCTACCTCTACTAACATCATGTTTTAATAAATAACTGGCTACCTCTAGTAAAATTAAGCCTCCAGGATTGTTTATACCAGCCAAGAATACTCCATCTTTATAGCTTTGCAGAAATTTGGTGTGAAAATAAAGTTGAACATAACGCTGACCCTGAGCTAACAAGTAATTAATGCTTCGATATAAAAATAGAAAATTATCCTTACAACACAAGGGTGAAACAGAGCAAATCCTCTCTCTCTCTTTAGATTGCTCTCCTGGCTGGATCCCAGCATCCAGCCAGACCTAAAGGCTACCTAAAGCAGGAGGAGACATGCAGAATAATTTTGAGTCTTTCCAAAGACTTTGTTTTCCCTAAACTCTTTTAAAAATTATTTTACCTCTTCTTAAAAATATACATTTCTTTTATTAATGAGTTGCTGTTCACCACAACACTGTTCCAACTGCAAAAGCACAGGTAGAGAGAGGAGGGTGTCTTGGGTAGTGCTGAAAAGCTACAGTCACTGGGCACTGGCTCCCAGGAGACCAAATATACTGAAAAGGAGGTGTCTGCAGCCCTGCCAGCTCCTGTCTGCTCCTACTCCAATCTGCCTGCAATGGTGCCATGGGGCACTGCCCGCCTGCTCCTTCCCTTCTGCCACCCAGCAGAAAGGAAACAAAACTCTTGCAAAGCCAAACCCGACACCCCCCAACACCCCTTCCACAAAATATTCATTAAACCCAACAAAAATAATGAAGAAATTAATCCAGCATTCACCTAACAAATTTGCAGACAAGACACATGTTGGCATTCGGATCTGCAAGACGACAAGTTGCTTCCAACTGAACAAGTTTAATGCCTCATTCCCATGGGGGATGCACGTTGAGAACTGACCTACAGGAGTTACAGCTAATTGCAAGGATCCTGGGGAACAAACAACAACTCTCTTTAGCATCTGCAGAACTGGAATTCTCTGTAGTCTCTTCCAATTTAACCAAACCTCCTGTAAAGAAAGTACAACCTGCTGCTGGCATTAACACTGTATGCAAACAGGGCATTTGGCACACTGACCAGCTCTGCCTTCACCTTCTGTTTTACCGCATAATAAAGACAAATTACTTCCACTTCTTTCCAGATAAGGCAACTAACGTAATGCGGATAAATGGGAAGTTAATTACACGGAACTGCTTGTTGGGCAATTATTTTTTTCTCCGTAAGTTAACACGATAAATAAAGCCTGCTTCTGTACAGATATTTCTCATTTGAGAAACACATACTTGCTACAGGCCAAGAGAAGACCCTGTTGGTTTTTTTTTGTTTTCATAAGAAATATGGTAAAAGAAAAAAAAAAAAGAGAAAGTGATAAAGACACAAATGCAGAACTAACTACAGGCTTGTATATACATTTTTGTTATCCACCACTAACATGGACTCTTGGTGAACGAGACAGACTGGTAGCCCCCGTTCCTGTTATTCCCAGAATAGCAAGGGGAAAAAAAATAATCTGTATCTTAAAACCAATGGCAACATAGTAAAAACTGTACACTGTTGTCCATTAACTTAAAAAGCAAAGTCCCTAGATGGTATAAAAGTGAAAGCAGGTGCCTTCTAACTTTGATAATAAAAGTCTTTCCCCCCCCCACCCCCCCACGCTGCACGATTATCTCCATTGTCTTTGCATGGCCAAGAACAAAATGCTAAGGAGCAAGGCTGCTTGTGATAAAACGCTCCTAGTAGCAGCGGAAGTGTTCACGTTCTTATCGCTCTTGTTGGAGTTCCCAGTGACTTCGGTGGCATTGAACTCGAACTCCGGGGAGCACTGCTGGAGCTCGCAGCCGCTGCCGCTCTCCTCACCGCTGCTCTCCTCACCTGTGGGAGACAAACACACGTGCTGTTCTCCTCTGCTGTCTGCAGCACGAGGCTTCACTTGCAGAATGCAGCTGGTGGAAAAAAAAGCAAGCGCGTGGATGTTTCGGCATTTATGACATGGAAGTGCAGGTCCTCCGGTTAATGAGACTTCTGCATGCCGTTCGTTACACCCATCCGTGGTGGTGGATGAAAAGCTGGACATTAGCCAGCGATGTGCACTCGCAGCCCAGAAAGCCAATTGCATCCTGGGCTGCATCAAGAGAAGCGTGGCCAGCAGGTCAAGAGAGGTGACTCTCCTCCTCTACTCTGCTCTGCTGACACCCCACCTGCAGTGCTGCGTCCAGCTCTGGGGCCCCCAGAGTAAGAAGGACATAGACCTGCTCAAGTGGATCCAGAGGAGGCCATGAAGATGATCATGGGGCTGGAGCACCTCCCCTGTGAGGAAAGGCTGAGAGAGTTGGAGTTGTTCAGCCTGGGGAAGAGAAGGCTCTGGGGAGACCTTATAGCGGCCTGCCAGTGCTTAGAGGGGGCTTATAAAAATGATCGGGACAGACTTTTTAGTAGGGCTTGTAGCAATAGGACAAAGGGGTAATGATTTTAAACTAAAAGATTCAGACTAGATATAAAGAAAAAAATTTTTTACAATGAGGGTGGTGAAACACCGGCACAGGCTGTCCAGGGAGGTGGCAGATGCCCCATCCCTGGAAACATTCAAGGTCAGGTTGGATGGGGCTCCAAGCGACCTGATGTAGTTGAAGATGTCCCTGCTCATTGCAGAGGGGTTGGATTAGCTGACCTTTAAAGGTTGCTTACAACCCAAACTGTTCTGTGATTCTATGGGAACAACCCTCCTCACACAGCCTGTCAGAGATGCCGGTTCCCATCCTCTTTACTAACATGCTTACCCACAGCTGAAGCTTAACCAGCAACCCCGTGTTAGCATGAAATCAAATTAAAAAGGGAAAAAGCAAAAGCAAAAGGCAAACAACAGCAAACATACTTATGTCAATGAAGTCGACATCGTTCCCACTGTACGCATTCTTCAGCTTGTTGGTCATCACGCGCAGAGCCATGATTTGCCGGCGAATCACCATGTCTGGCTTGGTAATATCAACTTCTACCTCTGGGTTATTCACTTGACTTGCTAGGCCGTTCCCAGTCACTGCAAAGTCGTACCTGAAAAGAAAACCTGCTGGTACCGGAGCTGCAGCTTATTGGGGTTCTGCACCAAAGGGCGGCAGCATGGGAACCCAGCAATGCCACCCCCATTTCCAGCCTGGGTGATATTCTGAGCCAAACGTGATCTTCCCACGTGCTAACCCTCACAGAGCCCTTCTCAGGCTTTTTATCTCATCCCCCCTCCCTGCAACCTGAGCAGCATGTGGAATTAAACACTGTTTTCATATACCCTGTGCCACAAAGGCAGGGGAAAGCCAATTTTCTCCCCAACTTGAAAAGACAAGGAAGATTTGGGGTGTATAATAATAATGGCTTACAACAGCATAAATCAGCTTGCTGCAGGCAACAGAGCAAAACAAGCTGCTGTGATGCCCTGATGCCCAGTTAGATGACGCTTTCGTGAAAACAAACTGTGGGGCCATAGTTATCCCACAGAAACCTATAGTAACTGTTGGAGGCAAGAGTATCATTCTGGCTTTGCATAATGCACCTTAACCATCAAGCTGGGGTATTAAACACGTACTTCTCACCACACAGACATAGGATACAATTTCCCTAATAACCCCAGCAGGAGAAACATCTGTGATGTTGATGATCAGATAACGTAACCCCACACATCGAGGCAAAGAACAGCCAAGCTGCTCAGCCTGAGGAGGTGTGCGTGCTCAGGTCTGAACCCACGTACAGCCTCTTGGTTGAAATGAGAGATTGAGCAACAAAATCCGACAGACTACATCTCCTGAAACAGGTATTTGGAGTATCATATAGAGCAGGGATAGGACACTTTTTTTCCCTCCTCCAATTAATTACCTGACTTGCAAGAAAAATCACTGTTTAACAGAAGAAAACATTACTTTTCTTAGTTATGATGCCAACATCAATACCACAAGAGAGAGAAAATCCTTTAACACAATCTACTGATCCTGGAGACCAGGCAGTGAGATGTAAGCATACATCTGAAGGGCATGCTCAAACCCTGTCCTGTATATGGGCAGGTTGATTATCACTATTATTGTTGGGTTTGTTATTATTTCTGATCAATACTACATTTCAAAGAAGTCAGAGCGAGACCAAAGTGTGGAAGACTACTAAACTTTTAGCTTATTGGAGCCACAGAGAAAACACTAACAGGAAACCAAAATGTCTTGCACAACCCACACAGGATGTCCAGCCTCCCCTCTGTCTCCTTGCCCAGTGCTGCCGAGTCTCCACCTCCCCTCCTCACTGGTGCCAACACTGGGGAAATCTGTTGTGAAAAGCCCTGTACAAGCTTCTGATAAACAAGACCTCAGGAGGGCAGAGCCATTTCTTGTCATGAAGACCCAAACCATTGCCCATACCAAGCGAGGCAGAGTTTCAAGTACACACAAGCCAGTGCAAAATTTACGCAGCATGGCTCAGTCCTGTGCCCCAAAAATAGCAAGGGCAAAAACTGCTATTACTTAGAAAAACTGCTGGAAAACCCTGGGCAAATATATATTTTTTTAATGGAACGTCTTGGATTTTGCTTATTTCCTCAGTAAGGAAACAGAAAAAAAGAAACTTCTACTTCCAAAATAAAAGTTAAACAGTTACATAAACCATATGACAGAAAGCCTCTGGCTTATTCATGTGTTGGTAATTTCTTCCTTACAGGAAAAAAAAGAGATAAAAATAGTTTTGTAACTATTTTTCCATAAGAATTGTGCATGAAAACCACTGGTCCCCTCGTGCCATGGATCTCAGCAGTGGACAAGAGGATTGTTCACCAGCTTCCATCTCCCCTGCCCTTGCCTAACAAGGAACCCTGCAGTAGCTGCTGGTAGAAACACCAACTGGGGGCTCTGGGCCAACAGCACTGTTAGACAACACAAGCATCCTTGCTCTGTGGCTGTGACATAGGATTTGGTACAAATCACCTCCCCAAACCCACAAACAATCAGTAGGAGTCCAAGGAAAGATGTCGTATCTGGGTATCTAGACTCAGTTCCCCCGCTTAAAACAAACCACCTCATAGGGCTCAGAAAATCCTTCAGCTTTGCATTCAATCTCTCCCATCTACAAAAAAAAAAAAAAAAAAAGTGTAGCAGCAGCAGCCTGTCTTGGGGAAGCTGATGTCGCTCCTGTAGGAGGAGAGGGCTCCGGCAAGGGGCCGGCACACTGGGAAAGGCTGGGGCGACAGCGAGAGAGTTAACCAGGAGCAGCAGCATCGCCAAACCTGCTCTTGGCGCTCCCGTTCCAGCACTCATTCTCATTGACAGTGCCTACAGACATCTTTTCATCATTGCAAATGTTGCCAGGGAGAGATGACCAAAATTTTTTGGCTTGCTTCAGCTTCTCTTTCACATCAGTAACCTATTAAATAAAAGAAAAAAAAGAAACACAGGACATAATCCAGAATACCAAATGCTCGTTAAAAGTGAAGCCGGAAAGGTATTTTTTATCACAACAGATGTGTACAGGCCAGATCTTCAGGCTGCATGTTTTGATGGTTGATTTACTTCTTTAATACAAAATTAAACATCACTCCTCAAACACTTATTACTCACAAGCCAAGCCTTTAAAACAGGCACTTTTCTGACATAGAAGTGCTGAGGTAATTCATGTCTAGAGCCATGGGCAGATTACATCCCTCAGAGTTTAAGACACCCAAGGAATATTAAGAAACCCTATAAATTACAAATGGAAAACTATATGCTGCAGTACATGGATGCGAAGCACCTGCACAGCACCAGCAGGACCAGGCACTCACCAGCCGGTCCAAACTCGTGCCGGCAGCTGTAGTCGGCCGCTCCTCTGGGTTGTAGGGTCTGAAACGAGCGCTGAAACCACTTTCAGAAACAGAGCGAGCTGTCCGGCCCTGGGCAAGCGTTTTTGGCTGGCCACACCCCTGGAAAACCTACACAAGAGAAGGAAAGGGTTTTATGAAACAGAAGGTCACAAGAGCCTCCCTTCTCCAGGCTCCAACCCAGGCCCTGCCCAAAATAATACATCACCTTTATGTATACTTGAAAGGGCATTAAAGAAAAACCATACTGACAAGAACAGGGAAATAAAACACATTGGATAACTAAAGCCCAAATGTCCTCTTGGCCCATTTACCTTCTGAGACACCTGCATGCTATTCTCCTGCATGTTCATGATTGCATCTGAAATTTTCACATCAATGGGGTCCATGACTGACTCGATGTTGAAGGGACCTTCCAGCCTCTCTGCTACCAGCAGCATTGAATCTAACACAAAGAGAGAAACAAAGGCTTTTAATGGAGGAGCTTCAAGAAAAACAGATAACAAGGATAACAGATTGAACACACAGACATTAACCACCGCAACGTTGCTTCGGACCAGCACACATCCCCATGAAACATTTTGCTCCGTTCCCAGAGCCTACAACTTCATTAGGCACTTACAGTCTGCCAGCACCAAGCCACGGGCTCATATACATCAAAAGCCACATTAAACGAGGGAGAACCTTTGCAGCCTGCCAACAGGCAGCCTGTAACTGCGTCCTCCCATTAGAAGAAGCATTACTAACACCCTCCTCTCCATGCTCATTTGTTAAAGGTTGCCTTGTGTCATTTGTTTTTCAAGACTGCTTTCAAGGCCACCAGCTTCCTCATGCAGGTCCTGAACACAAGACAGTAACGCGAAAGGGCCCAAGACGATCATCGCTATCACCTCTCTCACAGAAAGCTACAGGCTTTGCCGTGCCTGGGGAAGCCAAGGGATTGCACCTTCTGGCATTACATGGACAATTTACACAAGGGAGACAGCACGAGACCAGGGTAAACACTGCACACTAATGATGTATTTGGCACATCTCCAGGCAAAGGGAGATGCAAAAGTCCCTCAGCCAACACTGGATCACTCCTCCTGTGCCAACATGCTCATCCTCATCAAATACACCATTAAACACAGCAGCTACTGAACATCCACCGCTTCCTCTGGGAAATTATTATTGGCATTAAGGCTTTCACTCTGCATTGCATTCCAGCCTCTCTCTGGCTCTCCCTTAGAAGGTGCCTCCAGGTACACACCTGGTGCTAAGCACTTGTCTCTTCTCGCCCATTGCAACCTTTATTTAACATTAGTTTTCACTGCGGTCCCTCAAGCGCCCTGTTGGCTGGTCTACCCTCCTGCATCACTTCATGATGCTCTGCCACAAACCCATCATTTTTGAGTTGCATTCAATTCTTCAATTTTTCCTAGCCTACGTGGGAGGCCAGGGCACAACGGCCCCTCCAGACCTGAGGAAACTCTCTTCAAGGAAGGGAACAGGTGTATCCATTAAGGAGAAATGGGTGTTTCACAGTCAGTCTATTAATTTCTCTTGAAAAGTGAAAGTTCATCCTCCTCCTAAGCACAGAAGGTACTTTCAATAAGCAGAAAACTTCTATGGGCTCCAGCTACCTGTTAAAGCCCTATAAAGATATTCCACATACTGAACAATTTAGTAATAGCTCTACCTTAGTACTCAAGTCATGTTAAACTACACTAAAAAAACCACAAACTAATGACAAATACACAATCAAGCTATCTGTATTTAAATTAATAATTATTATTATTAATAACAAATCCAACCTCAAAACCCCCACATGAACTACAGATGCCTTTCTCACCTGTAAATCCAGTTTTAAAGACAAATCAGTATTCTAAAGATTTGCTGGGTGTTACTTAAAGGCTTAACAGTAAACCAACCCATTCTAAAAACCACGTCAGCCAGCACTCCTGCAGCTCCGCCAAGGTGCTGGTGTTTAGGGAGTGAACCCTGGGAGGAGCTGGAGCCCCCAGGAAAGCCCCTTGCCCCAAAGGCACACAGCACCAGCGTCAATGACGGAGCTGTTGCAGGGCATGGCTGGAATTTAGCCATCAGGGACTACAAACAGGTCTGAGCTAAATGCATTTCTTCAAAAAAGAAAAAAAAAAAAGGTAATAACAAATGAAACAAAGAGTCTTAGACTGTATTGTGGTGGGTTCCAATAAAGTGATGCTTCAAATCTCTGAGTAATGACTGCTAGCATGAATATACCATTGTGCCAGAGGGGAGAAAAATGCTTTTGATGTGCTACCAAATGGAGACTTTTGTAAACAAGTGGAGCACAACTTAAATGTGTTCATCATTGTCAAAGCTTTTGGGGTTTTTCACGCACATAAAGAACGTCCCGGCACAGTTTGCAGGAAGCTACTCATTTCAAATAAAAATACTATTAATAGACAGATAATAAAACACATAAAATGCATAGTTTAAAAAAAAAAAAAAAAAAAAGAGGGAGAAAAATCATTCCATTTTGTAACTACTTAATTCTCCGAGTGGCCAGGAAAGGATGCAGATCAATAAAGTGTTTGTGAAAGACTGAAAGGAAACATAAACCCCAATTCTTCTGGGTGTTTGGCGTCTTTGTAAACTTTGAGCTGGGCAGGCCATCCACAAGACCATGGGAATGTAGAGCGAATTGGGTCCTTTGTTAGCAGGGATGCCATGGCGTTACATGTATCACAGCCCAGGAATGCAGCCTCTGCTTTGACTGCAGATAGAGAAAATGCATTCGGCCTCCAGCAGAGCTGCCAAAGCTGGCGAGAAAAGATAAGGAAAGTAATAATTGCCCTTGAAGAATATATTCAACTGGAGCTCTTCTGGAGTTGGGATTGATAGTGGCAAGGAGTGCTAAATGAAATAAACTTTCATTAAAAACAGTGGTTAAAAAAGGGAGGTGGGGTGGGGGGCTCCACCTCATCCACAGTTTTGATTTTGGGGGCATTCTGCAAACTTTTACCTCCCACCAGGAGCTGGCTGGTGTCCCCACCAGCAGTCCTGACGAGCAGTGATTCCCTCTGGCAGCCCATTTCACATTAATAAGGCTGGCTGGGGTTCAAGCACTGCATATTGAGAGAGGAGGCATGCTGCACTAACAGCAGAAATGAATCTTTGGTGCAACTCATCTCCCCGAAAGACTTTCCATTATTGGGAGAAGGGAGTTGATTATAAATATCAATTCTTTTGTGCCAGCTCTGGTGCAAAATAATTGATATTTATAAGCCGCAGTGAGGTGGCTCAGATCTGCTTCACAAAAAAAAGTCTGGCACAGTGAAAAACGTACCCTAGCCATTTATAATAAACACACAGCGTGACAAAGACTGTCTCTCCTCCCTGTGATGGGGAAATAGAAGTGGATTTGCAGGGGGGGCGGACGACAACCCAACCCACACCATATAGCACCATCCCCTAAAGACCCTTTTCCTCCTGCATACATTTGTCCTTGCTACTGGCATTGAGACAATCCTTGGCGACAAAGCACCTCGCTCTCATGAAGGAAAGCAATTCTTTCACATTGTGCCACCAATAATCAGAAACCCACATCTTCAGCCTCACTGTCTGACTTGAAGAACAAAAGGCAGTTTTCAGTCTTAACCCCAAGATCTGATTTAAAAGGGGAAGGAAGGAGGGGGAAGACCTTGACCATTCATTAACAACAATCTTTTTTTTTATTTTCTGAAGGGGAAACAAATTCTTTGCACACAAAATAGTACTCCAGATATGTATATGTAGCCTGAATTTGACATCTTTGAGCAGAGTAAACCTTTGTGGGGAAAAAAAAAAAATAAATAAAAAAATCATGAAAAGGCACTGGAGATAAACACTGTTCATTCAGGAAAGCTCCAACCCCCCAACAGCTTGTTTGAAACATAGTATACCCCTGCCTAATTGCTGTACAATTGTGTCAGAAATACAGGGCAAAATGATTTAAAATAGTTAAACAGTAGAAAAGATCACAATTAAGTTACTATTTCATATGCCGCCACTTTAAATGGCACTTTGCAGAAGTAAGGAAGTATAAGGTCTTCTTGTCTCAAAAACCCCAGAAACTTAATATCCCAGTTTGGAAAGGCTTTACATAAGTGACTTACACGTAGACCCACTAACACATGCACATGTATATTTTATACAGACCCAAATTCATCTATACTTGCAGCATTTGTTGCAAATTCTCCCATTTAACTATCTTCAAATTACTTCGCTAGGTTCAAAATCTGGTTTTGATATGTAATAAATCATTGCCGTGATGCAAAAACATGCGATGTAAAATAGCACCAAGACCATGCAGGTCGGATGGGTTGGTTGTTTTGGGCGGGGGTGGTTTGGGGGTGGTGGTGGCTAATTTATTTATTTATTTATAGATTTATAGATTTAAACACACAGAGAGAGAATATTTGTGATATATACCCTGCCCCAAACACCAGACCTATTTAATTTAATTTGTCTCAAACGGCAAATTGACATAGAAACCAAAATCTGGAACATAACCAGCACCTGTTCAGCTATTAAACTGTCTAAAGAAAGCACAGCTTAAGTTTTCCAGTCTTCATACTCCAATGCAAGAATTAACCCAGAGTGCAAGAACCAAGCAAATACCGCCAATAGTGTAACAAAGCTTAATACCACACTTAAGTAATGAGTGGACAAGAAGTCCCTTGGGGAGGAAGCACTACAAGAAGAAAGCTTTGCTGCCAACCTGGAATCACATTTATTTATTTTGTCTTGTTTAATAATCTTAATTATCGTATGCAGTCCCTGATCAGTCTTGTGTGACAGGGCTCGTTGGCTTCCCCTGAGGTTCGTTTTTTAGCCACATACCACCTACAGCAATTAGCTGCTTGTGCTTTTGTCTGTTTTCTGGCATTATGCCCTTCCCTTTCATGGGATTCCTCTTTTCTACTTGGACTAGATGTTTGCAAGTCTCCTGGCTTTGAGCTATTTCAGCAACAATTGTAGCTGAAATACTTAATATTCTCATGAGAAAGACGGCTGGGAGGAATGGAGGGGGGCTGTCAGCCTCCCAGAGAATGACTTGGAAACCCAATTTAGTGTCACGTTTAAGTCCATATATGGAATACAGAGGCAAAAAAACGCCTTCTGAAAATAATACTCTGCACATATCCAGTTAGCATGGGCAGCGAAGTGAAAAGCCAGTGCACAAAACATGGGAAAACTAGTTCTAAGATTTAAATCTAACCTGAAATGCTAATTATCAGCAATTTCCCTTTTTTTTATCTCACAACTTAATGAAAGGGAAATCTTTCCTTTGTAACAGTCTTTTTTTTTTTTCCATGAGCAGGATGGGAAGAGTACTGCAGCTTTGTCAGTGGCAGCAGATACTTTAGATATGCACTTCATCACGCATTAACTGGAGTGAAGCAACTGCTCCCAAAAGATGCTTTGTTCACAGATAAATCAAGCCTTATGGAAAAGGTGCACAAATAAAAACATTTAACATTATCTATTGCCTGTGCCCCCAAAACATGATGCATCGCTAATTCTGCTGAGCCTTCAACCAAAGTAGAATTTAACATTTCAGTCCAAATTTCATATATTGAATAATACTGTTTATAAGCACAGAAGAGAAACGACAAACAGGAGGAAGAGGATGGCAAAAGTACTCGCAGAACATCATGTAAGGCCTATCGACATTTCAAAATGATAGTGGCTGAGCGCCAAATGAGCTGTTTAAAACTAGATACAGACACATGTCCCATTAAATTTTTTAACATAAAATACAGGCCTATGGCTTTTTCCAAAGCTCACTGCAGCTTGCATGGAGACTCTCAGGCTGCTGAGCAAGAAAACTGGATTCAAGAAGGACAGCTGTATGGTGACAACAATATATAAGAAGTAGTACAGAAGAAACAGCTTGCACACATGCTTGGTCCAGCAAGAAGAGACACTCCAAGCCCACAAGCTCCATCCTCCTAAAGCTTGCTGCAACAGAGCTCACTGGCACAACAAGAGTCTCATTTATTTAGAAATAAAAATGAATGGCAAAAGGCGTGCCGTATACAGAGGTGTGGCAGGAAGAGAGGCCCATCACAGACAGCTAAAAAATCTGCTATAGCTCAGCACAGCCACTCACAAAACCCATTCAGGTGAGGGACACAGTATCAGTATATACCCACATGCAGTTTTAATCCATATTGCCTTACCCATAAAGATATTCCACTCGGTGTCCAAGTCCCCTTGGTTGGCTAAGCAGCCTCTCATGACGTTAAAGCAGTAGTTGTAACACGGCTTCACCGATACCAGACCTCGGCAGTACGGGCAGTACATCATTTTCAGCAGTGCTCGTGTACCCTGCGGCGTGGGGTTCACCTTCAACGGGGAAAAAGGGAAAAGGAGAAGTCAGCCAGCCCTTGGTCACTAAAGCAAAAACCCCCACACATTTACCCCAAGTGTGGGGGGCGGACAGAGCTGTGCAGAAGAGATGGAACGGAGTCAGCCACTGCAGTCAAGTCAGAGCCCCCGCTTATGTGTCCAGGGATCTGGAAGCAGATGAACGGGTTCGGCTCACCTCCTTGGGTGCACTGGCCACTCCAGGGTATATGGACGGTCCCCATCACTGCAACACATTATCCACACTGCAATACACCTTGTGTATTGTGGGACTCCTCCCTGGGCCACAAGGACAGACACCCCCAGGGGACAAGCAGTGTTCAAGCTCAGGGAAAGTGGTAAAAAGCGAAGCCAAAAGGCGATGCAAGGCTGCACTATCCAAGCCCTGCTGCAAACACATGCTGAAGAAGACGACGCCACTATTTCTTGGGAAAAAGCTGCTGAGAAGGGATGCCTGCTGCTATCCCCACACCAAACCCACCAGGAGTGTGCCCTCCTCCTCCCTCGCGCTGTGGCTCAGCTATTCCTGGACAATCACCCAGCAGGGCTCTCCAGCAGAGAGACCGGCTCCTTTATCTTACATTCAACTCCAGCAACACAGCATTTACATGACAGATACCCGGGTTCATTTATACTCAGCACTCATCACGCTAAATAACACCATTCCCCACACCCGAAGGAGGTGGCAGCTACAGCTCCACAGCTGAGGACAAGCCAGGAGGACCCTCAAAGCCAATGTGCAACCACTGGGTGTGCAAGAGGAGCTATCTGCAGCAGACATGTCACCCCCTGAGCCCTCGACAGTGCTGTTTTCCAAAGTGACTCATGGTCATTCATGTTTGATTCACTCTCTGGCCCAGCTTCAAAATATTCATTGAAACCACTTCCCCCAGACAGTCTGAGGAGCTTTTGGTCCAGCATGACATACTAGTATTGACCACGTGGTGGGACCCATCTAAAGCACTGAACAGAGAAGCTCCCTCAAGAGCAAGTTTAAGTGTAATCAGCCACACATGAAAATGGAAAATTAAGATGCGAACAGAGATACACTGACAAAATAGAAGCAGTCTCTGGTGTTTTAAGCAATGCACTTGAGACTTCTTGTAAGACATTTATGGAGAGCGCTCTAAATAAGTTATGATCCAAGACCGTGCTGAAGGAGGAGATACAAACACAGCCCTGAGGAAGAGAGAAGTCATTTAATACAAATGGCTGAAGACGTGGATGGCCTCCACATCTCATCTGCTGGAGGTCTGGAAACCTATTTCATGGCAGAGAGGATGACAGGACTGAATGGAGATGAACATACACGAGGAAGACCTGCTACCACACATATGCTGAGGAGCTTACTTTTGCAAAGCCCGTCTCGGCATGAGGGGTATGGAGAAACCGAACACGATGTCCTGGCACAAAAACTAGTTGGCAGCACATGAAACAGAGGCAACAGATTTTAACCAAAAAAATCCAAAACCCAGAAAACAAAAAAACCCACTACATAATCAGGCTGCCTTTGCTAGTAACTTCAGTAGATTTTTAAACCCTCTTCTGTTATGAAGAGAGATGACAGATAAAAATGTTATGTTTTTGACAATTCCAGAAAGACTATGGTTTCTTTTCAGTAGGCAGGGAAACTGGTTAGAAAGAACAATTTTCTGCAGTCGATAGAGCTCACTGCTGGATTTTGGCTGGCCAGCAATATTCACTAAGACATCACTTTACCCTTCTTTTGTCATCTCTACCCTTCTTTTGTCCGTAAAGAGCCTGTTTGGCTGAGCAAAAGGAGACTCAATGTAGAAAGCTGTCTGCGGTGGCAGGGGGGAATCTGATTCAGACACTTCAAAGCATATATACATACATACATATATATATATATATATATATCTGTATTTGGAAGGCGGAGCAGAAGCAGGAGCCCCAACAGAAAGCTCCCTATTGGGGCAGCATGGCTTTAAAGCAGAGCTAGTTAAAACACTGGGAAGAGCTCATGAAATAGAAACTAGCCAAATCAGAAGATTTATAGTTGGAAAACTGAAAACAGACAAATGCAAAGGTATCATCTGCCATCCAGATGGTGCAGTCCTTGCATAACAAAAAAAAGTTGCAGAGGGGGAAGAGAGAACTAAATAACATCTCGTACCTAGAGACAGAGCTCTGAATGATACTCCAATTCAGTAGTTTAGTCGTTTCTCTGATAAAAATCCCTTCCTATGTCACTCAGTGGTAGGTACCAGGACCTCCACATCCAGTCCTGAGGCTTACAAGCAGATCCCAGACATCCTAGCACTGCTGGCCCTCAAAGAAGTGCTCTGCATCCTCCTCAGGAAGAAAACTAGGAAAATGTTGGTAGCACCAGACAGGTGCTGGAGCAGCTTGAAGCAGGACAAGGAGCAGCAGACCTCCCCAACCCTATCATGGAAAGCTGCAGCTTTATGAAAGAGATTGTGTGGCAGCACGTTGGGAAAAAAAAAAAAAAAAAAAAAAAAAAAAAAAAATTACCCACACAGCACTGACCCAGGAGGCACCTTCCTGTCTTAGGTTCCAGGCCCGCGCCACGAGTGCCGAGCGGCTGCAATCCTGCAGCATCCCCCCACTTTGATATTTCTTAGGGGTTGATCTTTATGAATCCCAGCTGATGCAGGGGAAACTGAAGCCACTTTCTCACGTTCCACAGCAGATGACATGGGACAGTCATTTGGATTAGGTCCTTTGAAAAAAGACGCAGGATGACTTTAAGAGCAAACAGAGTTTTGCTTCCTTCCCCACACCAGTTTGCAGCTCTTAGCCCTACACAGAGCTGAGCAGAGGGTGATAGTAAAGGAGGCAATGAAGAAAAGACAAAAACCCCAGCCTGCAGCGACTGCCAAACTGAGTCTTAACTAGTGATGGACCAAACCCACAGAGAAGCTGCTGGTTTGCAATAAAGTTGCAGGTGAAGAGGAAGACAAAGGGGAAAGTCATCGGTCCAAATCTGGCATTTTATGGTGTCAGAAAGCAACAGGAAGGCAGAAGCAAAGATCACCTCTAAGAGAGAGTTTAGGGGAAGATTATGAGCAATATACCTTGTTACAACAGTGATAAATGTTTACCTGTTGCCTATCGCTGCAACAAGAACCTTAACCCTGGCAAGGGGTCCATACCCGGTCCAGACGAACTCTGGATCTGTTAGTGGGATGTGCCATATGGTGCACTGGCAATTATTCACAAGCTTTTAATGTTCGCTCTGCCACACCAGGTGCAAGCTCTTAAAGCACCATTGTATGTAACACTAAACCCAGATATGCTTTGTTCTGGGGTTGTGTTTATCTTGGAAAACAACTCAAGTTCATTTGAGCTCTACTCTAGAATGACCCTCAAAACCAAATAATCTCCTTTCTAATAAAGCAGAGTCCCAAAGAAAGCTTTATTTGCTGAAGAGGATTTACTCTGCTAGATCTGAGCCCAGGTAGTAGTACGCTGTAGTCCACATACCCTGTAAAAGCTTCTAATAGAAGTAAATGCACTCCGACCCCTTCCTTTTATCTTGTGAAATTTATTTCCTTTCCATGGCGTTCCACGCCACTGCAGCAATCCATCACCCTGCGGTTTCATCATGTAAATTACAATTTGTCCATATCTATACGCTTTGTCAAACATGAAGATTAAAAGCTGCTAACAGATGCTTTGGCACCAATCTTCACATTCGTATCAAACTTGCTCCTTAAAAATACAGATTTGCCCACAATCCACAAAAATTAAGTGAAAAGCAAACAATTCTGGGCTTAATTCAAACGTTTCATAATGTATTTGTTGAGATACACCCCCAACTTACACTGACTGCTGAAGGTACAAGCTTGTTCTTATAAAAATGACATGTTCTTAGTACAATGAAATCTGGTTTTTGTTGGTACCTTGTCATGCCCATCCCATTTCAGAGTCTCACATGAAGGAATAAGTCTGCCTTGCATCCTTAGCCTTTTCCAACTCATTGGCAATTGCATCCGGATGCATACATCTGGCAGAAATTTCACCATTAAAGTACACACCTATCAAGTGAAACGCCTTGTCAACAGCCTACAACAAATCCACCAAAATTCAAGATAAACCAATCTGTGCAAGCAGATAAAGTTCAGAGAAGCAACTGGTTTCTTTTTCCCCTCCTTCCCAAGGCAAGGAATAGCTCAGGAAGGATGACAGAGCTCCAGTCATGGATGGTCCTGCAGGGAGCTCCCACCAGCTGCCAGACAGCCAGAGCCACGTTTTATTCTTTCACTCTACCCTCAAGTTAGCATTAAGAATGTTAATAACAACATTTAAAATCCTGTCAGTTTTAATAACTATTTATAATAACACTGATAACTCAGGCTTTCTTATTTTCCAAGCTTGCACAACAACAGCATTGCCATGCCAGCAGCACAGCTGCCAGAAAACATAAAAATCCAGCAATTTGAAAATAAATGTAGTGAAATTACTTTTGATTTATTACCATGTTTTCTTTGCAAAAAAAACTGAATTAGGGCAATACTGGATAAGAAAGACTGAAGGAGCAGCTTCTCAATGAGACTGAAAGATGATCTTATGACTTCAAAAACTAACTCCAAAGCTGACAGAAGGACTGCGGGATACTCCAGGTGAGCAGCCGATTGAAGTGTCATCGATTTTTGGGACCAACACAATTTTACTTGCATCATTTTTTCCTTCCCTCAGTGTTGCACAACACCATCATCTTGGCACATGCCGGTCCAGACATTCAGCTCACTGTGAAGCAGATCATGACTTGGGCGGCTCTTGGTTTGTTTCCCTACCCTAAATATTCCAATGAAGGCGTTTTGGAATTAACTACGCTTTTAACCAATATTGCTGGCCCAGTGCTAGCACATGAATAATTTAGAAAGCATCTGATTCAACCACAGATTTGGACCTCTGAGGTCTTGCACAAGGGAGCACATTTAGCAGCAATATTTGGGAACTGCACGGCTCTGTGCCTCGTCAGTATTCGTTAC